TGCAGGACATTGATGTTGAAGAAAACCCTAGCTCCCATAGTTATATGGTTGTGTTCCAATATGGATCTGCTGTGTTCTTTAATGTTGAAGATCATGATGTGGAGTCTTAGCTAGACATTATAAGAAGGCATGCTTCTGGACTGCTTCAAGAAACAAGAAAAGATGGTTAGTAAACTTAACTTTAACATCTTTTATTTTTCAAACACTTTGGTCCATAATACCCCTGCCTTAATAAAGCATGTGTGGTTGTGTAAACAGATTATGTGGTGAAGGAGAAGCCATTGTTGATGGAGGATATACAGGGAGGTCTTGATTACATTGTTCTGAGAAACTTTGATATTGACAGATTATGTACTATTAGTTGTTATTTTTCAGATCAGAGATTGTTTGGAGATAGGCAAAATATGCTCAAATATATGAGTACCTTTGTGAGGAATATGAAGTAACACAACGGTTTGGAAATCTTGATTATAAATTGAAGTTTGTTGAGGTAGCTTTTCACACCAGATTTTTTTATTAAATCTTGAATATGAATCTTATTTTCTTGTTTACTAGTTTTGGAATGGTGCATCATTGTGTTGCTGAGCATCGAGAACTTTATAGGAATATACGAAATCATCCGGGAAATAAACATAGTCCCAAGGAAGGCCCTATCAAAATTTATTTTGTTAATATGTATATACCAATGCTAACTCATGTGAATATAGATGCCAGTTGCAAAACGTTTGGGCACCAGTTCTGCAGATGCAATAAAAGTAGTTCTGCAGATTCAATAAAAGCAGAGGAAGGGAGTGATTCATTGGATACCTTCATCAAACAAGCTGTTGGAAAAGAACCTCCATTTTCATTTTCAAGAACTAGGGATAGCCCTGTGCAGTGGATACAATTACTTCATACAGAATTCATATGGCACCATTCAGTGTTGAGTATCTCTATGTTGAGATTGCAAACAAGGTACAGACTTTTTGTTCCTAATATCATTTCTTCATTATATTTGCTTTTTGGTTGATATTAGTATTATTATTTGTGAAAAGTAGTTTTTATATAATAATGTTTCTTATTTCTATAAAATGTATACTTTTTATCCGGGCCCTCTTTTGGCAACAACAAAACTATTATGGGGTTGATTTAACAGCTTTACATGGAACTGCATTCCAAGGATATTTTTCATATGTTTCTCTTTCTTCCATTTCACACATTAAACTATATCCGATTTTGTTATGAATGTCATTAACATTCAATTGCAATCTTTAATAATTTAATTTTTAATAATGTAATTCTTAATATTACAATTTGTTACCCATATTAGGAACATGCTTACATTTCTTTACTGATAATAGCCATATTTATACCAATACTTAAATACATTGCCGTTATGGGTAAAAAATCATATTTTTTCCTAAAACAAAAGATGAAAGTTGAAACATAATGCTTTCTTATCATGTGAAATATCTTTTGGTGTGGTTCCATATTTCTTTTATTACTCGTAAATGCTTTTAATGTTTGTTTAATCTATAATATTATTTGTGTTTAATTCATGTTTTTCACTAAATGAATGTGAATTCTGGATTTTATTTTTGTTAATTCCATTTATAGGAAGAGGATTTGTATGAAATTGACATTCCATTAAAATTCACTGCTTCTGTGGGCACAAGGATACATGGTTTAGCATGTTGGTTTGATGTTCTCTTCAATGGAAGGTAATAAATTATAAATATATATTTTTTCTAGTTATTTAGAAAAAAAGAAATTTGTATGTTGAGTTACATTACAGCACAGTGCAAAGGTGGTTGATGATAGCTTGCAGGTGAGTCATTATAAGAAACGAATGGAATGGTTTATTCCATTGTTTTTTCATATATCTTTAATGTTTATGAGTTTACTTTTTTTATTTTTCCAGGACATCCTTCGTCTTCTCACTTTGTGGTTCAACCATGGAGCTACTGCTGATGTTCAAACAACACTACATAAAGGTTTTTCACATGTTAACATGAACACATGGTTGGTTGTTTTAACTCAGATCATTGCAAGAATCCACTCAAATAATCATGCTGTGAGAGAGTTGATACAATCTCTTCTCGTTCGCATAGGACAAAGCCATCCACAGGTCTTCTGTTTTTCCTTTTTTACCCTTTTAGAACATAAAACACCATGTAGACTTACCTGTTTCAAAATCCATTTCAGGCTCTTATGTACCCTCTTCTTGTCGCATGTAAGTCAATAAGCAATTTGAGGAAGGCTGCAGCTCAGGAAGTGGTTGACAAAGTGAGGCAGCACAGTGGTCTGTTGGTTGATCAGGTGCAATAATAACTTAATAATAATGAGTCAATGACTGTTGATTAATTTCGGGTTTAGGGTTTTTAGCTGACAGCTAGATTTGTTTTATGTGAAGGCACAACTTGTGTCGGTTGTATTTTGGTGAACATAATATTGAGGGAATGCTTAAGGTTTTAGAACCATTGCATGAAATGCTTGAAGAAGGTGACATTAGAAACAACACAACACACATGTTTTCTCTATAATAATATCTAAGTGCATCATCTTGAATAACAGAATCTCATATCTTCATCATTTAAATGTGTTTTTTCTTAAGGCCTGGGATCTGTACTATCATGTCTGTAGAAGGATAGATAAGTAGCTTCAATCTCTTACAACTCTAGACCTGCAGGCAAGTAACTTATTTCATGCATATTTTTTTAATGCCATTAAAGTTAAATTGTAGGGATAAATGCAAATCACAACAATGTAACTTATTTCATGTATTTACTTTTTTTTTTGTGTCTTCTTTTTACCATATGAAGGAAGGAATACTCAAAGTTGGTGTTTGATTGTTTTCCTTTTGTGTAAATGCAGTCAGTTTCTCTAGAATTAGTAGAGTGTCGTGACTTAGAGCTTGCTGTTCCTGGAACTTATTATGCAGGTATAATAATAATATTATATTATATATGTTTTGAATGATGAGTAATATAATTTATTAATTATACATACATGTTTATATATCTGGTTAGTCATCTTCTTCTTGAAATATCTGGTTAGTCAGTCTTTGGATATGTATAGAAAGTAATTTTTTAATATGAACAAGGATTAAAGTGTAATGGTTTGGTTGGTTTTCTTTTCTGATTCAAGACAGTATAAACCTCTTATTGGTAGATCATTTTGATTCCACTCTCATATATACCATGTGTATTATTAATTAGTTGATATTGATATTGTACAACTGACATGATTATTGTGTAGGATTTCCGTGTTGTTTTTGATCAAGAGTTGGGATTGATATTGAAGCTAACAGACATGATGATTGGTTGGATACATGAAGGGTTTCAGAGCTTCTTTAGACAGCTTAATGATGAGGAACTAAAACAAGAAAGGTGCCCCTTTATAGCAATGTAGTATTAGGTTATATAGTTGGGGAAAACCTCTTAATAACAATGTACAATCAGATCCCTTTAATATCAATGTATTATAATTTTTTGACATGATGTTATTGGATGAAACTGATTGTTTTTGTATATATATTTTTTCTATATTTTTGTATTATGCGTAAAAGATTATCGTAAAGGCACATCGTATATGCATATTGTAAATGGTTGCTGAAGTTTATGACACGTAAATGTGTGTCATCTTCATTTATGACAGGGGCTATAATGATACGCAATGCGTTTCCTAAACGTGTATGGTAAGGTTACGACATGCAAATGCGTGTCGTCTTCCTTTATGACAGGGCCTTCCTTGATACGCATTGTGTGTCGTAAATGAGCGTCGTAAATGTGTGTCGTAACTGCGCGTCGTAAATGCGCGTCATCTATAGACGACGCGCAAAAGTGTGTCGTCTCTCGTTATGACAGGGCCTTCTTTGACATGCATTTGCGCGTCGTCTGAGCGTTTTACGACATGCATTGCACGTCGTAAAAGGTTGTTTTTCTAGTAGTGAGGCAAGTCACCTTTAGATGGAGCGGAATTGATAATCTTAATAGAACTGGCAGGAATTGGAATGATAACCCCGTGATTCTCAACATATCCTTCTTTATGTGATAGGGCCAGTCCAAGCCAACGTGTATAAGGAACATAAGTTGGCTTCTTGTTCCCAGTGAAGCAGTCAATCACTATATTAAGAAACAGTCAAGAAAAATCCAGTCTTTTGTTGTATACTATTGAAAATAAAATCATTTTCTGAAAAAGATTCAGCTGCTCCAAACTCCAAGTCTTGTGTCCGAGACATTTGCCAATCACACTAGTTAAATACTTCCATCATGCATTAAAACACTGACGAAGAGTGTTCTTGTATGGATCACAAGTGAGACCCTTAAGTTTGAAATTATACCCTAATTTTTCATGAACAAATTTGCAACTTTCTTCATAGGGAGTTTCAGAGTAATCTTCAAAGCGAGGAAGACAAAGAGCAGTTGTAAAGGATTTCGCATCAATAGTAACCCTAAATTAACCATCTCCAATAGTTCCAGTAATGGTCCAAGCATTAGTATCAATAGAGAATATGTAGTAGAGCTCACATACTTGTTTAGGGTAGAATGGGTCCGGGAAGTCGCAAAATGCATATCGAAGAGGACCGCTTTTAACATAGTAGACAAAGTCTTCGATTCTTGACTTTGAAACTGCTTTGGGATTTCATCGGTGAATGGCACATTGTTCGCTTGAATGATAGGAGAGACAGGGGCATGAGGACCTTTGATGACATTTTCGTTGGGGACAAGCTCGTACAGAGGCTTTGACATGGTGAAAGCTTTGAGGAAGATGTCGATTTAGGAGTCTTTTTGAAAGAGAGAGCCAATTTCTTAAATAACTTGTAAAAGTGACCTAGGATGAAGAATTCCCAATTTATACCCAAAACGTTTCTTCCTTTTTACATAATCACGAAGGAAGATATATGCGTCGTAAAAATCTCAAATCCCAAGATAATGATGAATCTTTCAGTCGTCATCCAAAAAGTTACCGTTGAGATAAGTTACATTAGTGAGACATGTCATCAACAACAATGAACATCAGCGTAATTGATCATCGAATGCCTTTAAGTTTGTGATGTCTCTTAATAGTGTGGTCTTAAACTACCATTCATTGACATAGTATTGTGAGATCTCATCAGCGTGTGGTTTCAGACGCTGACTCATAGATCAATTTTATTAGAAGAAAAGTGGAAAGAGTGGATAGGTGCGTGTAATATATCACAGACAATGATATACCCATCGTAATAGCTTTGTCAAGCTCTCATCAGCGTATGGTACATTACACTGAATCATAAAGCTTTAAAGAAGATTATAAGGGCAAGAATGGATTGGTACATGTGATAGACTACGGTACATAGACTAACCATCGACACAGAGTTTCAAATTTTAATCAATGTGTGGTATAATACAGTGAATCGTTAAGTTTTATTAAGAAGATAAAGGATAGAATGGATTGTTTCAGTCACGCTGAGGTAAAATCAGCATGAATCATTAACAGTTTAACACATCAACAAGAAGTGGTTAAACTTCCTAATCATAGAGTAAGTTGCAATATAGAATCAAAGATTCACCATTAACTTATAATGGTACCATGTCATACCTCAAACTAGGAGGCAAGGGACATGAACAACCCTTTGCCATTTAAGGACCAAACAAGTATCACCTACGCTGATGAATATGCAATCGGTGTAAGCCATTAGATTATGCTCAATGTTTCAGCAGAACATGAGACTTGGTGAATATATGACAAGCATACTTCCAGGGACAGGGTCAGGTAAAAACGATTAATTAAAAATAAACACCACAGCCTTTTGATAGATTTTTTTATTTGGACCAGACAATCTCACTTAGAAAGTGTAGAAAATGTTAGACAATCAACATGAGGGGTGACTCAATGTTCTCAGCAGATGGTCTCGCTGATGAGAAACTTAGAGAGATTTTGTCACATACAACGACATGTTTCTAGGGACGATGATGTGTCGGAAGTTTCATACTAGGCTTAGAATATCCTACATCAGATTCCCCCTTAAAAAATATACAAATACAAACAAAAAAGTTAGTCAAACAAGAAAATATTCCTATTAGCGAAATATGTGCAGCTTTTTCAGGAAGGAGATAAAGACCCGTTTCATCAAATATTTAGAATTTAATGGTCATTAATGCACCTCCATCTTACCAAGATATTTACCCCTTGAATTTTGGCTATAAAAGAGAATAGACAAGATCAACCATATCACACAAAAACACAAATTCAGAGTAAACAATAAGCGGGAATGCCTTTAATCGTTAAGATTCTGCAGATTGATTCCAAGCTTCATGTTCACCAAGAACAAAGGAAAAGAATGAACTAGTCTTTGTAACCAACGAGTTAGAGGGATCCAATATTTGTAACTTTCTAGTTATGAGAGTCACCAAGACAAAACTCGAAGTTTCCATTCATTATGATCCATGAAGGAATAAAAGATGGGATCACTGTCTTGTTGCAGACGCCTTTGGATCTTTGAGGTGATGGAGTTGCAGTGACAGCGTCTCTGGAACTTAGGTGCGCCATGTCACAAAATTCCACTTCATATCACTACAACCAAAATAGGTTGTTTAATACAAAAGAGATATGTGTCCAGAAGAACAACTGGTGGCAGTGTTATCCCCCATCTGGTCTCATCAACATGAAGCAACATGTCAATCAGCGTGTGCATCAGCGTCAGTGAGAGGGCAGTTGTTCTTGAAGAAAAGATGCAGAGTCGGCGTCAACTAGATCTTACAAGGAGGGTGATGCATTCAAGAAGTTACACGTTGATCTTATGTCACACCCCCAAACCAGAACGGTGGAAACGTTCGGGGGCGAAGGACGTCATGTTTAGTATCACAACACATGTATCATAGTAATCAAAGTAACACACAACCATCGCATTAATATTAAAGTGCTTATAAAGTAAGTGATTCACAAAAGTTAGACTCCAAAAGTAAATAACAAAACAAGACTTGAAGCTACTATGACCCATCTTCTGAATCCCAGTGCGCGTACCTGTCTACTAGTTTCCTGAGAATACAAGTTATTTTGAAAGAG